GACTTTAACGATCAACATGTATATTTTCTACTTTCTTGTTTATTTCTAGTCTTTTAATTTTATTGTACAATGCCATGTCTTTTTCATGCTGCTTCAACGCAAACATTTCCCAAATTGGGATCAATAAAGTACTTATCTTATCTTATTAGCACCTTACACTTTACCAAAGAGAAGACTCTTACATATGATGCAGATTTTTGTTAAATTCAGTCCATATATTAAAGGGTTGAAGAGCGGTGGGAAGGTGAAAAAGTACAGAGATAAAAAAATACGCAACATGCTGTGAACACCGCTCATATCAAACCTGCTCTGTATTATTTCAAAGAAACCCCCGAAGGAGAAGTTAAGCAGGGAAACAAGGTGAGGTGTGCAGGTGCTGAGAGCTTTCTGTCTGGTCTGTTTGGAGCCAGAGAAACACACTCTGAGGATCTTAATATAAGAGTAAAACATTAAAATTATGAGAGCAACAATAACAGTAAACATGTAAACAAGTCCATAAGTATTGTTGACTGTAGTGTCAGAGCAGGCCAGTTTAACAATGGGGAAGTTATCACAAACACTTTGTTGATGATGTTCCAGCAAAGCTCTAAAGAGGCACTCAATGATATCATGACAGAAACATGAAGAGCATGTGAGCCGTAGGGTCGCCTGTTCAAGTCCAAGACCAGACCTAAATATGGAGTGTGGACTGCTACTTGGAGAGTTCCCAGTTTGCCTCCTGCCCTGCCGTGGTGCCCTTGAGCAAGGCAAAATGTAGCACCCAAGCCCCTCGCAAAAATGCGGGCAACATTTTTTAGAGCCCTAAATCCAAAATGGCTGCCATCACCATAGGTTGAAAATGAGCTTTTCAATGTTTTGGCCTACAATCAGGGGTGCAGTGCTGCTGGAACGGCGCTCCCACGATTGCTGGAGACGACCAAACTATAACATGGAAATACTCAAGTAAAGTACAAGGACCTCAGAATTGTACTGAAGTACAGTACTTCAGTAAAGGTAGTTAGTTACCTCTGGGTTAACGGAACAACACGTTTCATTTTGAGGTCAGAAACAACATTTAAAAAATGTAGGCTAACAAACCTCAAGAACTTTATGTCATGGTTTTGGATTTATGTTTTCCACCTTTGTTTTGAAATGTTTTCCTCCTTGTGTCTTGTCTGATCCTACTCCCTGGGCCCTTCTCACTTTTCTTATTTTTCATTTCCTCGC